AATCCCGGGGCCGCAGCTGGATCCGTCCCCGCTGCTCCCAACCCTTCCCCTCAGCCCCACATGCAGAGCTGGGAGGGCAGGAGGCAGTTGGAGCATCCCAGTGAATTGGATTTTCAGGATGGTTTCAGCACGAGGTGTTGGAAAGGAAAGTTGTCCCAGGCTTGTTCTGCTCCAGAATTCCAAATGCTGAGGGTCCAGGAGGATGTGGGAGCTGTGGGATTATGGCCCTGATTATTCAAAGCAATGCACAGGAGAGAGCAGCAACCAGCAGCTCTGGGATCTCAGAATTCCAGAATGGGTTGGGAGAGACCTTAAAGATCCCATCCCACCCCTCTGGAATGGACAGGGACACTTCCCACTGTCCCAGGGGGATCCAACCTGGCCTTGGACACTGCCAGGGATCCAGGGGCAGCCACAGCAAATCTGGGAATTCCATCCCAGCCAGGAATTCCATCCCAATATCCCATCCATCCCTGTGTGCTGTCCCTCCAGGCCTTGTCCCCAGTCCCTCTCCAGCTCTCCTGGAGCCCCTTCAGGCCCTGCCAGGGGCTCTGAGCTCTCCCTGGAGCCTTCTCCTCTCCAGGGGAACATTCCCAGCTCTCCCAGCCTGGCTCCAGCCCTGGGCACTATTCCAAATCCCAAAAATCCTTTGCAAACAGCGATAAGGAAAACAAAACATCTCTCCAAGACCTTTCTCCTTCCCCACTCTCTCTCCTTGGAAGGGCTGAGCTCTGCTGAGCCTCTTCCTTCCACTTCCTTTCTATTTTGGGCTGGAAAATCGCTCCCAGCTGTGGGGCTGGGGGGAGGAGGAAGGCCAGAACTCTCTCATGTGGGGAGCAAATCCTCACCCCCCGCTGGTTCCTTTCCTCACATTCCCAAGTGTGAATTCCAGGCGAGCTGAGGGACCCTTCAGTCCCCTGGGTGGGTGTCCTGTCCCACTTCCCTCTATTTCCAGGGAAAACGGGACAAGCCACGATGTTCCTGCAGCTCGGCTCTCTGTTCTCTTGGGGAGTGCTGTGGGAAAAGCCCCCAAGCCCGGCTTTGCCAAGCCCGGCTTTGCCAAGCCCGGCTTTGCCAAGCCCGGCTTTGCCACCTGCCCTCCCGGTGCCTTTGGAAACACCAGCGAGGGGCCATAAAATCCCAGCTTTCCTTTGATTCCAAGCCTCCTGTTTTCCATCAGGAAACCTCAAGCCACATCCTCTGCTGCTCCTTTGTCCCCTCCCCCCGTGCCCAATTAACACCTCGTTAATGAGCACGTGGGCCAAGGCATTTCCTGCTGGTGTCTCACTGCCCACCTGGCCCTGCTGCCCTGCCCCTTCTCCAGCTTTTGGGATGGATCCCCCTGCAGTGTGGGCAGGGATAGGGATGGGATTGGCAGCTGGATTTTGGGGCCGTTTCCCCAAAGGGGGAGCAAAGGAAGAGGATCCCAGGGATTTGGATCCCCTGGATCTGGGGCTGGAAGAGAAAATTTCCAATGTGTGCTGGTTCAATCCCATGGATGTGAATCCTGCCTCTGGAAAAAGCTGCTCTGAGCTCCTCAGGCTCCCTGCTCCATCCTCTACAGCAAATCCAATCCCAAATTGTCCAAGAGGAGCAACCACCTGGATTTCAGGGCTTTGGAGACTTCACTCATTAGCAGAGGAGAATTAGATCCAATTAATTTGCACTAATCCAAAGGCAGGAGGAATTCCCACTCAACCTTTCACAAGGAATGTTTTTTTAGGATTTCATACCCCAGAAATTCCCTTTAGGAGTTCCCAAACAAGGCAGGGATTTGCCAGACTGCCCCCGAGATGGTTTAAGGGGTTTGTGGTGCCAGCAAAGAGTTTTCCAATTTGAAAAAGTTCTTCCCACTTTTCCGAGGAGCTGCCATCCACGGGTTTTGGGATTTCAGATGCCCTTGGATGCAGGGAAAGTGGTTGGGTCCAGTGCTTTCCTTCTGGGATGATCCAGAATTTGGGATGTGGTGTCTGCTTTGGTGATCAGGGATATCCAGACTTGTGCCTATCTCATCCTGTCACCTCTTCCCTCACTGCAGATCCCAAAGAAAAATCTGGGAAGGGCAACAATCTACAATCATGATGCTCCAGCTCCTATTTGCAGATAGGATTTAAAAGAAAAATTTGATGAGGAAAAGTAGGGTTGGTTTGGAGCAAAATAAATCCTGGATGTGGTTTCCAGTTGCAAATCCCTGCTGGATTTGTTATTCCAAAGAAGGGGAAAGGACAGGCCTACAATGAAGCAGAACTTTTGGGGAGATCCTCAGGAAAACACATTCCACAGTGATCCAAGGATGGGATTTCTCCAGCCTTTTTTAGGGAATTGTTTGTGGTGAGGGAAAAGATCCACGTTCAGCTCTGCTGGAAGGGATCAGCCTGGAGAGGCAGAATCCCTCTGGGATCATCCTGGAGCAATTCCAACCCAGGGCCAGCCCTGTGGTGTCGGATGTTTGGGAAAGGAGAAAATCTCTACTTAAAATTCCTGACCCCAAGGGCAACAACTTGAGGACTTGAGGGGGATCTCTCCTGGGAAAATCCTCACCACAGGGGTCGTAGGAAAAGAGTCTTTGACCCCATTCCAGAAAGTGGGAGCGTGTCCTGGCTGGCAGGGTTGATATCCCAAAGAAAAATCTCGGGGAATAAAAAGGCTAAAAAGCTCTAAAATTTCAGATTTTCTTCAGCCACTCCAAATTTCGTGCTTTTTTTTCCCCCCTTAAAAAGGTTAAAATTCAGTTTTCTGGGAGGATGAGGTCGCTGCTGTCCTCCTGGATGGCTCACAGGGATCCTCTGGCCCTTGGCCACCTCCCAGGTGTCTCTGAGCCCTGGCTCCTGATCCCTGTGCCCTGGGGAGCCGAGGCTGAGCTGCTCCAGGAGCTCCCAAAGAGCCCCATCGGGATTCGTGCGTCATCTGCACCTCTGGCTGAGGGCTGGACACCCAAAATACCAAACAAAAAAAACCCCAAAACCCTTCCCCCCACAAGCATTTGGTTTCCTCCTTTTCTCTTTCTCTTCCCCCCCTCCCCTTTTTTTCCTTAAATTTAGTCTCCAGATGAAAGCTTTTTGGGAAAGAACAGGAAACCCAAAAAATTTCTCTTCTCCCGACACAAATATTCCATCCCAGCCCTGGTGGGCAGCTGATGCCACCCCAAAGTTAAACCTGGAAGGGGATGAAGTGAAATTCCCAGCCCTGAGCCATCAGACCTGACTTTTTTTTTTTTTTTTTTTTTTTTTTTTAAATCCATGAATTAAAAGCTTGTCTTTCCCTGGTTTGGAAAAGGAGATGGGACATTTTGTGGGGAAAGAAGAGGGATTTTTGCACAACCCTGTCATTAGCAAAGGCCATGGCCAACCCTTTCTCTGAGCCTGAGGTGTTGCAGCTCCAAACTGGGTTGTTTTTTTAATAAATAAACCTATTTTCCCAGGGAAGGTGTTATTTTTAGTTGGGAATCTGGGGCTGTTTACCTGGGTTGTGCATCCCAGTTTGGCTTCACTGTCCCTAAAGGACCTAGAACTGATTCCAGGCTCTCACTGGGCTTGAGGAACCCCAAAATCTGCTCCTGGTTTCCTCTCCAGAGGGTCCAGCACCATTCCCTGATGCCAGGAGCTCCCAGAGGTTGGGAGGAGCCTCAGGCACCTCAGGAATTTAGGGAGGCAGAGACATCCTGAGCCCTAAACACCTCAGCCCTCTGGAAACCCATCATTTCTCCAGCTATTTCCATCTCCTCCCAGTTTCTGCTCTCCATCCTTGCAGATGTGGCCCAAATTCCACAAAATTCCCTCGTGGCCATATTCCCAGCACAGATTTGGCTTGGAAAAGCTTTCACTGCCCCAGTGGACACCAACTGGGGGGGTCAACGTGGACCAGGAGACTTTTTAGGATGGAATTATGGACCAGGAGAGTGTCTAGGAAGGAATTATGGACCAGGAGAGTGTCTAGGATGGAATTATGGACCAGGAGACTTTTTTAGGATGGAATTATGGACCAGGAGACTTTTTAGGATGGAATTGTGGACCAGGAGACCCTTGAGGATGGAATTATGGACCAGGAGAGTGTCTAGGAAGGAATTGTGGACCAGGAGACTTTTTAGGATGGAATTATGGACCAGGAGACTTTTTAGGATGGAATTGTGGACCAGGAGAGTGTCTAGGAAAGAATTATGGACCAGGAGACTTTTTTAGGATGGAATTATGGACCAGGAGACTTTTTTAGGATGGAATTATGGACCAGGAGACCTTTGAGGATGGAATTATGGACCAGGAGACCTTTGAGGATGGAATCACAGACCAGGCTGTTCTTCTGGAGCGTGAGGGAGCTCAGAGTCACGGATATGAACCATGCTGGGCTTGAAGGAGCTGAAACTGGGATGGGGCCTCTGCCTGCAAAGTTTTATGGGCCAGGGGCTCCCAGTGCTATTGAGGAATGTCCACAGAGCAGCTGGACAGGGCTTGGAACACACGGGAGGAAAGGATTTGGGGAATTGTGAGAGGCACGAGTGGTCTGTGGTTCAGATTTGCAAAGGAACACGGAGAAAGGGAGGGAAACATTCCAAAGGGTGCCTGAGCTCTGATTCTAATTATCAACCTTATTTGCATGATTGATATCAGCGATAATTTTCCCTCCCAGTGATGCCTTGAGGAGCAGAGGCTGCACACAGAGTTAAG